GATTTGACCCTACTTAGCATTCTAATACATACACTTGACCATGTTGACCAGACTGGGCCCTTAATTTCAAGTGGTATACTTCTCAGTTAGGTAATACTGGTAACGGTTCTCAGACAACCCTGCATAGATCTTTTTGTAGAATGTGTAAACTGTGTCCAAGTAATGCTCTGGAAATGAATGCTCAAAAAGCACCTCTAGACCTGTCTATGTGCCAAGTTTGGTGAAGAAATATTGTACAGTTTTCAAGATCTGCTCCAGAAATGAGCACTACCACCATTTTCAGTCAAATTCGTTGCTTTGGAAACTCGAAAAATAAATTGTTAAAAAATCCCAAACTATCAAAAGGCAACAGTTCACCGCCAGACCTATCCATATGCCAAGTTTAGTTAAGATATTTCTCAATTCTGAGTTTTTTAGTTCTGCTCCGGAAGACCTACCCTCTAAGTTGTTTTTTTATCAGGGAGCAAAATGTAAGTCTAAGGATTCAATCATTTTTTCCAAAGAGCCATAACTGACTCAGAGTTTGAAATAGGACGCATGTTGGCAGGGATTCATTGTGAAGAAGGATAAAGATGGACATTCAATTGTATACATTTAACAATAATGTAAATATTTTCTTTTTGTACAATATCATCTATTTATTATCATTTTTATAAATTAGTATTTAAGAGGGCACACATAAATATGTTGTGAGTCTGATTACAGCAATGTTCAAAATTGGGTAGGCGGGGATTCTTTCTTTTCTTTTTTTTAAAACAATTTTGATCTATAGTTCCAAGAGGACTACAAAGATTAAAAAACTGAATGCTTTTACAAGCTCCATTGCAATCGCAAAATTGGCAATCGAGAAAGGACAGAGTAAATTTCATTCACTTAGATTAATAGTGAGAAAAGATTGGTGTCAGAAGCATGTTATAGTGTTGGTCAGGTAATCAGAACCACAATATTTCTTTGGACTGGCTTAAGTTGGTGTTGCAATTTTCAACAGGGCACAAAATACCTCCAGAACATTTTTACACGAGTTGACATTATTTGAATCAGAAATAACTATAGTCGCCAGTAATGTATATTTTTAGGTAGCCAACTGGCAAACAGTAGATAAATATATGTCACCCATCATAGTTTTAAGTCACATTGGCGAAATGTAACAAGCAATAAGCAAATGTCCAGGTATGTAACCATAGCAAGTTCATCTCCAGCTACCCTTCACAAAACACACTTCCATGTCTTGGCAGCTGAGCTATTTCTGCATTTATCCAACCAGCGGCAGAACTATTTTGAGTTGAATGTGAGGAAGAACTCCACATCAAGCCAGCAGATAGATTATTGACCAGCAAATAGCTCAAATCAATAGCTTGAGACTTCCTGTCATTAACCATATGTCTAAATCTACATGATGCCTTTACAGACTCATTTGGTGACAATGATTCATGACATTCAGCATTGAAGGGCGCAAATAGGACATGAAACTGATGCATAAGGACCTCTATACATATCTGCCTGTCAGATCCATCGTTCTCAATAAGTGACCATGTGCAGGTCCTCTTCCCATCTTGACCTTTCTGTGCTCTCTCTCCCATGGGCTGATCTAGCAGGCACAACATACACGTAGCAACTGAGTGAGACAGATTTTATGCAATACCCCGGTAGTCAGAAGAATTAGTTATCTGGTCAATAGAAAGCAAACCAATGACCAGCGTTGAGAGCATGATGAATTCATACTGATGAGCAAATCTGGAGACTTGGCTTCTCTAATTCAATAACAAAATGCCATTGTGACCATCACCTTAAGACAAAAAACTAGAATTTCTTTTTCACCAAACAATGCATCAGGTTTTCTATTAGCCACAGAGCTAAAGAAAGACATAGCCTGAAGACAGATCATTCACCAACAATAATCATGACAACAGCTGATCAATAGCTGACCTATTGTCCTGAGGATCATCTGTCACTGCAATCAGGTCATAGATCGATACCTGTAGGTTGAAGCTCCCATACAGTCATACAGGCAGTTTTGGTAACCTTCTCAATTAGTGAGAAATATGTTGCTGCTTCACCATGATGCCTGGGTGTGTGTACATGAGTAAATGATTTCATGCCATGAGAAGCAAAAGGTAAGACAGCTGAGATGTCATGCCTGTCTTCTAGGACTTAATTAATTTACGTTCACAACGACCTGAATGTTGATGAGTCCTGAGGTGTTTCGTGTTAGACCTGAAAGATCTTCAGGTTTAAACTAAGACACCAATCATGTCAATGTCACTGCGACCCTTTTAGAATGTTTAAAGAGCACAAGGATGATAACTATCCATGTTCCTGGCTTTTAGAACATATCATCACGGCAATGCCAAAACATGAAGACAAATTAACACAACGTGACACGGAAAACAAGGACTTTTGTTGTCAAAACATATGTTGGCTGTGTCTACATATTTCTACAAATAAACTACATTCTTAGCTTGCCTCAGTAGGCAGTCCTATGGCCAGAGGCTGTTCTGTGTACAGCAAAAACCCATAAGGCACTCAGCAGGACTTACAAGATTTGACAATCAAAAATCAGACTGTTCTTAAGATAATTGTTTTGCTTGGTCAGTTAGCTGTTTGGTTCAAAATCTAATGTTGCAGATCTATGCATGAAACTCGAGTGAGTGAGTGAGTTGGGTTTAATGACGCTTTTAACAGTATTCCAGTCATACTGCGGCGTGTCAGCTTAATGTGCGAGGAAAGCCTGAAGTAATGCAGGTCTCAGACGTTTACCACTTCGGTGAAACCCACGAGCACAAGTATGGTGCTGACAAACCTAGAAACATAATCTGGGCGAACCAGGATTCGATCCCACAATCATACGTTTCTGTCGTGCCCAAGGGACGCAACTCTGCACAGCGAAGCACGGCGCCTTAGACGACTGGGCCACCCATGCCCCTCCCCTCCCCACCCCCGTGCAACTCAAGGAGTCTGTAGATTAAAATATATTATGCAATAGGAGCACACCTTCAAACACTACAGCATAAGCTCATATTTCAATCTATCATTTTCTTCTGCAGAACTGGACAGATGTCTGTGGACTAGTGAACAATTCACTACAAAACAAAAGACCCTGTCCACAAAGATACATTGATACTACACTAACTGGTAATGTTTTAACTGCTAATTCTTCTTTTGTCTAACAAAATATTAAATTTTCAATGTGTGAGAAAAGCAGGGATAGACATGACCACTTGTTTTCTAAGTCTGAAACTAGTGAAAATCCAGAAGGACCAGTTGTTTTTTCCCCAATCCTGTAATGTGACATTAACCACTGGTCTGAAATAAGCTACAAACTAGTTTGATATTGCCAAAGGTGTCAACCCCTTAATAGATGTATTTACAAATGACACTGACACAGATACTATAAGGTTATGACATGTGACAATACAAATCAGCTACAAATCACACTATGTAGTATGACATTTTTTTTCTGCCACTTTCAGTTTCATGTGAAAATGCTGCACAATATGCATGATTTGACCACTGATTATTCACTCTACATTGTAGCAGACTGTTAAGAATCCACAGATTGTCCATCACTTGTTCCCCAGTCTGGTCACAGCTGAGAAGTGATCTTTCCAGGTGGTCCACCAATTACTATTCATGCCACACAGATGTGTTGACAACCCATTCAAACTTTCAGTTGCATATCACACACCACATGGCATACCAGTGGGACCTGTTCTAACAAAGAATCTGAATGGGGCAACAACAGTGGAACATAATCACCATGATGATGAATAAGGAACAATAATCTCTATGCACCTAATGTCCTTAACAGGGTTTCCAATTGGTTCACTTTATAGAATATTGACAGATCACTGCTAATTGTAATCTAAATGTCCTAAATATTTTTTTCAAATTTGGTCACGAAAAAGAATATTCCTTCAAAAGTTAATAAAATCATGACAATATCCTAATGCACTAGTCTCCAGGAAATCACTGCTTAATCAACCAGAATGACTCATATAGGGTAACAGGTCCTTAATACTTAATGATGATGTAACATGGTGTCCCCTGTCTAACTTATTGTCTAACTAACATGAGAGAGTGCAAGTGGATATCTCATACAAAGAAAAATCTTGACGCCTCTCACAGAGTTTCACTTCATCTTCCTCGATCAGGAAGTTACAATAGCATATGGTAATCATTTTCTCATGTTAAGTTAACAAAACCGAAAATGAACAACAATGTTGTTTATCCATACATGTAATAATTATATAAAGTTGGGACAGGGTTCACTCTCGGAATTTTCTGACATGGGCCCTTTATATTAAAATTTCAAATATTCCAGAGGTACGCCCATACAACACAATGTTAAAATGCCCCATTGTATTTAAAAACGTGGGACTTTTTGTCAAATTTAGGGGCTAAAAGCATAAGGCCCCACACTAGAATTATCCCTGTTGGTTAGTTACGATTTCAAAATTTTCTCAACTTACCGCACTTTACTATTACTCATTAACAAATGTGTTAACGTTGTACACATATGTGCTAAAGAGGGTTATATACATTTTCGGAAAAACTTTCGACCGTATCTCCCCTCCCAAAGTTGTATATATGCACTGCCGCTCAATCCTTTTATTTATATAATAAGTGTAACCAACAAAGGTTCTTTTTAATTTAAAAAAAATACAATTATTTGAAGGAAATGTTTTTATAGACTAAGTGTTGGTCTATACTAGTCTCAATAAGCTTCCAAACCCTCAAGTGCATGACAAACCGGAAGAGCAGACGCCACCCTTGCCGGAAACACGTGAAATATGACAGTGAACGACCAATATTGTAAACAATCGAACGAGCCTACAACGACGCTTCACTACTCTGTTGTTATTACATGCGTAATCTACAACACTGAAGTTTAAATGGCATATTTTCAGTCACACAATAAAAATTTAAAATGTCAAGCCCATTTTAAAGTTGGTTGTCAACAAAACAATCTATCCACGAGGATAGCATGTGGAGTGACTCACCATTTCCTCGTGTAGCTGGGCGAGTGTCGGTCGCGATTTCATTCCTCCTGTCGCCGACAGTATGTTCCTGTAATGGTCAACACATGGCAGAGCCTCATGAGTATTCATTGCAAAAGTTTTCAAATTATTGGTATCTGAATAACTCCGAAAGGAATCGCCACTGAGAGAGAAGGTGGCTGAAGGAGATTCCGGTCCCTTATCATGCACATTGCTTCTTGTATCCTTTGGTGATTCTTCAAATTTAGTTTCATTAACACAGTCCACACGGGCCACTTGAAACCGAGAGCCGCTTTTCTTCATTTCTTCTCCTATTTCGTCACCTTCCACGCTACTAGGCACGAGTAGCTCTGCTTTCTTCATTTCACCCGGCTCGGTAGACTCCATGTGCGCCATTTTTTGATTTATCCAAGAAGGTCACTTGCCTCGTTCTGATTGGCCTATAGTTGGTCACATGGTCACTGTAAACAAAGGTTTGACGCAACCCACGTGCGTGACCAAAATATCCCCACTTACAGGAATTTCGCCAGACCGACGCTGTGCCAGGAATGATTTACTGACGGGATGTTAATTGGTCACGGATGACATGGCGACACGTTTAAAGGAAAGCATGTCACGGGAGCGGTCTGGTAATGTGGGCGCTTGTGGTGAATGGCGTACAGTAAATTTAGGCGGAACTGCCTCGATCAAACGGATGCTCACGCTTCGTTGGCGGTCATGTGAGACAGATTTAAACAGCTTTTCTGCCGATTCAATCTGGCGTAAAACACATTGTTAACTGGATTTATGCATTTAAACGTTTGTATAAAGTACACTGTAGTGTACGGGGACAGTATTCCACTTCCGCAATTTCAGTAGGGAAAGAAGTAATTTAAGTTATGTATATAATATTTGGGGATAATAAAAGGCGCGTTATGATTTCGACGTTCATAGTAATGTAATATTTCTGTATATAATGTAAAGTATGTTTATCTACTTCACGTGTTAATAGTTATATTTATTCCCAAATGTAGATAGTTTGTACCCTGCTCGACGAGGGTGTTCTGTACAATAAAAATTATTGATTCTAGTAAGCGAGATCAGAGGTGAAATGGGGTTCAAGAAAATTGCACTTTCACGTGTGTGTGTGTGTGTGTGTGTGTGTGTGTGTGTGATGCTTGTACAAGCTACTACTGTGTCTGGTTTCATTGTGATAGCCCACACAAATACCACCCCGCAGTTTAATATGAATATTCAAACAGTGTGCATGTATACTGATTCAAATGAAAACCGCAAAAAGTATGTGAAAATCAAGTAATCTAATACCACCTGCCTCAGCTCTTCCACCACATAGTTCTGTCCTCTTTACAGCATGTGCCTGTTACAGTCCATTAAACATCAGGTTAATTTTAACCAAACTGTAGATTTTTCAAAGGAATACAATATGTTTGCGGTGCAACTTGGTTCCTCTTATACTGGCCAGACACCAGATTTGTTTGTTTATAGTTATATGAAACTGCCTTGTGTCAAGCTCGGCAATGGGTGAGGAACTGTTCACAGACCACGCGTTATACTGACTTGCTGACAGGTTTATTACCGAACAAAATCCTTATATAGAAAGAGACATTTCTGCGAATTGCACTGGAGAACTGATGCGGAGTGCCAGACAAGGGAAACGCCATGTATACCATATTTTGGGGTATTTTTTGGTATGATTGATTGATTGTTGTTTAACGCCGCACTACATTACAGTTATATGACGGCGGTCTGTAAATAATCGAGTCTTGACCAGACAGTCCAGTGATTGACATTCAGAGCTCCAGATAAGCTTTTGGTGTTGTGGGTATTTTACCCATGCATTTTTAAATCATTGGGTATCAGTAATTCTATCTGGGTATTCAAATTTCTGTTACCCACTAGTTTTTACACATGTGGGTATTTAAGTTAAATATTTAAAAACAATATTCATCTAGTCCCTGCAAACTGGTGTCGTGTGAGTTCGAGAGCTTTAAAGGACTCAAAAATACCACGATACTTCCACACGAAAGTGTGATGGCAAATGATCATGATGTAACTGTCATCGTGGAGTTTGGCAAGGTTGACAGAATGCCCGTTTATAATTTCAAAATAAGATGCTGATTTGCTAATCGAATACGCAGGGTTACTTCACAATATTTTGATGATACACACAAGTTTTATTTTTGTACCGTATCTGTAATGTTCGTTGCGTATTTGATACGTTTGGATTTTATTTTACTGCGCATTTCTGCATTTCTGATGCGCATTTTACGCAGATACGCAGCTTATCTAGAGCTCTGGACATCGATCCACGCAATTGGGATACGATGACATGCATCAATCAAGTCAGTGAGCTTGACCACCCGGGCCGGTTATTCGTCTCTTACAACAAGCATAGTGCGCTTTTACGGCAAGCATGGGTTGCTGAAAACCTATTCTACCCCGGATCTTCACGCATCGACCTCCCGCTATTCAGGCAGACGCTGTATCCACTATATACATATAGTCTTCATACGCAAAGACCGCAGTAGAAATAAAGATATTAATTCAATAAACACGTATGTTGGTACAAACACATGGGTTGCTGAAGACCTCTTCTAACCCGGATATTCACGGATGCATTACTTGTGTAATATGTAATAGGACGGAATAGTAGCAAAACTTTTTGCGAAAGTTCCAGAGTAAAAGAACAAAATAATAAATCGACCAAGTGATTATGAATTATGTTTAGTCAAATTTAGTACAAATTCACATCTCCAGGAGGCGCTAGGCAGCCTTCTGGTTGAAGCACTGGCTATAGTCACGCCCAGACCACGGGTTCTATTTCCCATATATATGCGTTGGCAAACTGCATTCCCCTACGTTGTATAGACCGCCTCCGTGGTCTAGTGGTAGAGCGTCCGCCCGGAAAGCGGAAGGTCCGGGGTTCGATCCCCGGCCGCGTCATATCAAAAGACGTTAAAAGATGGTACTTGTTGTTACGCTGTCTGGCGCTCGGCATTAAGGGGCTAAAACAAGGACTGGTCGGCTAGGAGTCAGTATACTATGTCTGAGTGTGGTATTCATGTTAAACTGCTGCATGGTATCTCAGTGAGCTAGCACTATAAATCGGCATCAGTCCGGACTAGTACAAGCAGCCACACACACACACACACACACACACGTGCATGAAAGTCGCTATATAAGTGCAATAATCTTGGACGCGACGTTAAACCCAATTTCACCTCACCTCACCTCACCTCACCTCACCTACGTTGTATAACTGGGATATCTCGAAAGAAGCAATACCAAAGATACATCAGGTGTAATAATTGGGATGTGGCACAATATTACCGAAAAACACACATTCAATTTTCCAAGACTGATCATATGTGCCGGTGTCTGTATCAGTCCCTGCATGAACCATAATAGTTTTCCTTCCGTCCAACATTTACTGTAATGCTTACAGCTCTAAATGGAACAAGCCTAGATTATCCACAGGTTCATCTCACTGAGACTCCTTATCAATTTAAATGGAGATTGTTTCCATCAAAATTATATATTTTCAGAGACTTAGTGTTAATCTAGGGCTGTGGAATCGTCCTGGGAAAGCGTTTGCTCTTCACTGTTTGATGACGTTCGTGTCTGTATAAGTATTGAGATTGTAATTATAAACGATCAGCACAAAGCTCTAGAACAAATTCTTCTCTGCACACATCGCAACAACCAGCAACTCTTGGCATGATTTATACGAGTAACGTGACATTTACCATGCATTGATTTACGACGTAATGAGGACGAAAAGGTTATGAAAGGGAATCCAGAATGAGGCGAACGTTTGTACTCTGTTCATCTGTAATAGTGATTATCAAGCTCTGCAATTTTAATGAATCCGGTCCTCGATATCGACCGAAACAGTGTTGACAATATATCCAAATATGTTTAATAAAACAATATCATGTTGCAAAATGCCAAAATACAATACTTTCTGCTGAGTATAATATACACATGGTTTTTTAACACATGAACGGTTATCTGTGTATTCCTAGCAGATTCATATATACAACACCCACCGTTAAGGGACAAGTATTTATACTTCATTTTCAACTGAAGTGCACACCATCCCTCTCATACTCCGCGACGACGCAGGTTACACATATGTTTTTGCTGGCGTTCAACTTTTAACTCGTTTGAATGGTATTTTTGGTATTTTTAGAGATCTAGGAACCTGTACGACTATGTACTATCGACGTTTCAGCGCCCACGTGTTACCTAATTGCCAGCTGATAGACCTTGTTGATAACAGATGGTCCATGGTGCTCGCAGAGGGGTCATCTCAAACTCTCTTACGTCACGGGCTGTACTTATGTCCATGTTCACAGCATTATCAGGACCCACACACCCTTCGTTTCATGTTAGTTCGTTTTAAGATTTGAACATTTTCGATGCGACAACCTATCTTCAGTATGACATGATGTTGATAAAAATATCAACATGCCGCTGAACTAAGTTACCGCCCTTGTCTTTACAGGCGGCTATGTTCAAGAATAAAAGAGTAAAGGGCGGAAATGTGACGCACGGAAAAATGAAACTTTGGACTTCATTCCTTGCGGCCTAAAGCCGTAAATACGGCATGGTGCTAATTTCAGCTTGAGATAAACCGTGGATGTGCTTCCTTCCAAACAAGAGGTTGACTGAACAACTTCTGTGTGTAATAGACATCAAGTGTATTTCCCTGTACGTATTCCGGGTTAGAATATGTCCCCGGCAACCCATGTTTGACGTAAGAGGCCACTATATCACTTAGGTGGTCAGATTCCGTGACTATGTAAATGATATTGGTCGAGAATAACTTGGCTTTCGATTTCATCCTGTGAAAAGTCTTATAATATAAGACTCTTCTGCAGTAAACTTAAACTAAACGTACTAGTCATGTGTTAATACATGTCACATTGGGTGTTAGCTATTGGTAAATATATTGTGTGAGCCAAGTGCACACTGCCTCCCCCATTGAGTGTCCAGAGGTATCTAGTCCTGTTACTTACCCCTTCTAATGTCAAGTTATGACCTGAAGTAAAATAAAGTTTCTGTTAGACAGCCAGATAATGTCGTCTCATCATGTGTCCACATGCAGTATACACACACATTGTTGTAGAATATAGGACCCGTGAAGATCCGGGGTAGAATTGGTCTTCAGTAACCCATGCTTGTTGTAAGAGGCGACTAACGGGATCGGATGGACAGGCTCGCTGACTTGGTTGATGCATGACATCGTATCCCAATTGCGTGGATCATGATGTCAATCCTGGATTGTCTTGTTCAGACTCGATTATTTACAGACCGCCGCCATATAGCTGGATTATTGCTGAGTGCGGCGTTAAACAACAAACAAACAAACAAAAGAATATATACGAATGTCTGAAAAGTTAAACACACATTATTATTTCAACAGTCACTGAAGCGTACGTTATACTGAAGAAGCCAAGACGTGGCTGTTGTGCCAAAATATGTCTCCCTCTTGTTTATCGGCGAATTGTCTTGTA